TCAGTTGATGATATCCAGGCCAACCATATTCAATGTAATTACATATCTGTGAGTAATTTTCGTCAGCTTTTAACATTTCTCTATATAAATTATAATTTTCCTCTGAAACACGGGCCGATTTTGTCACCATGTGGATGACTCCCGACAGTCCTTAAATTTCTGAGACATCCGACACCTGTGCTTTCGACAAGCAATCGGCCACCAACATGTCTTTTCCTGGCTTATAGACAATAGACATTTGCGAATATTTTAACGAAACATGAACATTCTTTGTAGTCGCATTGTTACGTCATCAATATCTCGTTTGACTAACGTTTCCAACGGCTTGTGATCACTTTCAACAGTGAACTCCCGTCCATACAAATAAAACTGAAACCGTTGGCATGCAAAAACAATAGCCAAAAGTTCTTTTTCTATTTGAGCCCACTTTTTCTCACTACTGCTGAGGGTTCGTGTAGCGAACGCATCAGGGTGCCCGTTTTGGATGATTACGCAACCCAAGCCGTCCTTAGATGCATCGGTTTGTACTACAACTGGTTCCTTTGGATGATAAATTGCCCACACCGGCTCTGATATTACGACAGACAACAAGTCTTCGAATTCTTTGTTATGTTTATCCGTCCATTCGAAATCTACATCATTCCCTGTCAAGTAACGCAACTCTGCCGTATGTTTTGAAAGGTTCGGTATGAATTTAGCTAAATATTTAAGTAGGTCCCGCCTTATCTGTCGGTTTTGTCATATTTAAAATTGCATCACGATATTTTAAGTCCGCTCTAATTTTTCCTTCCGATATTACATTGCCCATGAACTTTACTTCCCATTGTCGATACTGAATTTTTTCCTGATTAAATCTGATGTTGTTTCTTCGAGCTCTATCTAAAACTAAATTCAATATCCGAGCATGCCGCGCAAATAGCTAGATCATCGAATTAAACAATTGCCCCGGATACATCTCCAAATATTTGAACGATTTTCCGTTGAAACATTTCCGGCGCACAGTTGAGTCCAAAAGGAGCACGGCTAAATTTGAATCTCCCAAACGGAGTCAAAGTTGTTAAATCAGAGCTTTCTTTGTCTAGTTCCATATGCCAAAACCCACTTTTGAGATCTAAAACCGAAAAAAGCCTTTTATTTGCTATCTTTGACGTTAAGTCATCAAATGTTGGAATTAAAAAATGTTCGCGCTTGATATAATCATTGAGTGGTTTCGGGTCTAGGCAAATCCGAAGATTTCCGTTGGGATTCTCAATTATTTGCAAGTTATTAACCCAATCGGTTGGGTAGTCTACAGGGGATATGATTTCATCCCGAATCATGCTATCGAGTTCTGATTTTAACTTGTCCGTTAGAGAATTAGGAATCCGTTTCTTATAGTGAAGCACTGGCTTCGAATTGACGGATAATTGAATTTTAAACTTTCCAGGAAACTTACCAAGTCCACTAAAAACATCGCTAATTTTTTTTAAAATGATTCCTTTGATTGAGGAAAGCACACAATGCCTTTAATATCCAATCGCTTAACTAAAACAAACCTCTCACAGGACTCTAATCCGAGTACTGGCTGGCAATTGTCATTAACAACTAGCAATTCCGCAATATGTTCTGTGTTTAATTTTAAGTTCAAGCATTTCAAGTTGATTTTACCGAACATTTTTATTTGATTGCTATTGTAATCATAAACAGAAAAATCATTTACTTGCTGATCAAAATTAATTTTCAACTTTTTACACAAACTTAAAGGAATACAATTTACATCTGCGCCGGTATCAAGTTTGAATGTTACAGATTCATTTCCAATTCTAAAATCCTTGGTCCAACGCTTATGACCTTGTTTTTCTGAATTCAATCTAGAATTGTTTTTGAACTAATAACTTTTCTTAACTTTACAGAATTATCACCAAATTTACCTTGCACATCACTCCAGTATAATACAGCTACGTTTGATTTGTTTTTATTGCTGTTGTCCTTCCCTGCACAATTTCTTGGTACGGATGTCTTCTTTGGCTTTCGACACATCTTCATGAAATGACCTTTCTTTGAGCAATTACGACAAATTATTTCCTTTGCTTTGCACTCATTAATATGACCCGGTTTCCACGAGTCCCCACAATTGTAACAGAAACGATTTAATGCACCGACGATAGTCGAATCCGATTTGTCGTCCGAGTTGATCGCATTTAGTGAACAACCTAACCCTCTCCCCTACAAAATCCTCTGCGACCTTGTTCACCACCAGGACGAACGAGGTCAGGCTACCTGTCCTGATAAACCAATTCCGACGGTGAATAACCCCAGAATACTCGGAGTAACCTTCGACAGTCTGCTCTCCTTCTCTGCGCACGCAACCGCTATTGTCAACAAAGTACAGAGCCGCAACAAGGTCCTCAAGTCGCTAGCCGGCAGTACTTAGGGCAAAGAAAAAGAAACGTTGTTGGCAACATACAAGGCAATGAACTAGTAGGACGCAGCGGATGAAGCTGCAGACTACTCAAAACACCGCACTACGGACAGCGACTGGATGCCTTCTGATGCCGCCAGAACACCACCTGCACGACGTGGAGAAAATGCTCCCAATAAAGGAGCATAACACAATGCTCTGCAAGCAGTTTCTGGTTGGGAGCCATAGACGTGGTCACCCAAATAGGCAACTGCTTGCAGAAGCGCGCTCGCCCAGGCACGTCAGGAGGCATCTCTACGAACTACCGGACGAAGTCCAGAGGTTCATTAAACAACCTCTGGACACGTCAGCTCCAGACCTGTGAATGCCGTTCTAGGCGCACAACCACCGGACATCGACGAGACGGAGTTTCATCTGCCTCGGGAGACTAGAACTACAATAGCCCAACTTCGCTCTGGCTACTGCAGCAGTTAAACTCATACCTGAGCAGATTAGACGCAGATGTGCCAAATGAGTGTCCGGCATGCGGAGAGACACCCCATGACTCGAAACTTCTCTTCGTATGCCCAGAAAACCCGACAACCCTAACGTGTTTGTCCCTGTGGACCGACCCTATTGAGGCTGCACGCTTAGGGCTTCCGTTAATGGATATGGACGACAACGACTGAGATATTAAGCAATCTGGGCGGGGTTGTTGTAGCCGCTACAACAACGACAACAACAGTGGAACGTGAGTTTTCAAGTAGTTTTCAGTGAAAACTGATTTTCGTTTGACAGATTTTACATGGACGAAAACACAAGTATTAGGTCGAAAGCCATTTTAGCAACGGAAACATGTTTTCGATGTCTACCAGAACATGGTATAAGACTCAAACAAGGAAGAAGGTAAAGTTGAGTATGTAGAAGGAGAAAGGAATAAATTCATAGATTAAAATAAAAGTAAAGAAACCTAAACATAAAGTCTTTAAATGCTTAGAGCCAAATTCACAGTGCGTAGTTAACTCAGAATCGGCAGTTACTACAATTAA